TTGCTTCCTCTTCCCGTGGTGTGTGTATATTTGTGTTGTGGCAGGGGGGTTGGGCATGCTCCCTTAAGCCCACAAGCAAAAAATCAACAGAGGAAATGGGTCGAGAGGTCGTGCCCGATCCATCTCCTTCTAACATAAACAAGACGCTGACTTGCCAGTTCAGCTCATCACAGCCAGATCCTATTGGTAAAACCCAGAGAGCCCAACTCGTCTTAGTTTCCTCCAATTAGGATCTTCGTGAATGCAGTCTTTGTATAATGACCTAATTCGATGTCAAACTGACTGGTTGGGAATAAATCATGTTAAGATGTCTGAATGGCTTATATGGGCTGTTAAAGGTCACATAGCAATAGGAACCTTTAATTTCATAGAGTATACAGAGCTGGGGGGAGAGCATTTAGCTTTCATTATCAACCATTGTCATGTCAGGGCTGATTTACAATGCAGTCTTAAGCAAACAGTGCTAACTGACAGGTCTGTGATGGACGGAGGACCTCACTGCTTTCTGTCTCGGAGCATGCTAGAACAAATGCCACATTACTCTGAAAAGAAGTGTTTAAGGAAAATGAATGACTTAAAAATAATAATAAATAGCTGCATGAGAAGTTTGACAAGCCAATGTGGCCAAATGAAAACCTGCTTTCTAAGCTCTACAGTGTCATAAAATTAGCCCACTGATATTCTAATAAGCTTATAAGAAATAATTTTTAATACCACTAGGTAAAAGTGAATGTTTTTTTATTTATCTGTGTAGTTTTTGACAGGATTACATAAATGCTATTAAGACCCATCAAGTTTACTCTACCTGCATTTTTAAAATCGCAAATGCCTACATGTCAAGTTATGCGAGGTGAAGGGTGCAGAGGTCACAGGTCAGAGGTCATATTTGTCTGGCATGCAGGGGCAAAAAGATCAGCCCACTAAATAATTATTAGCTGTAACTTGATCGCTTTGGACATATCTGATTGTGCAGAATGGATTCCTCCAGTAAATGTCTTAATGATTAAAACATCCACTTTGTTTTAGATGTTTTTAATTTTTAATTTTATTTTCATTTTTCTTACAAGCAGGGACAGAGTGAGCAAAGATTATCTTTCACTTGAAAATCAGAGTTATGACCAGGGTTAATAGAATATGATTGATGTGGGCATTTGCCGTAAAGTTTATGGTTCATTTAAAAAGTGTAGGTGCTAGCACTTTTGGATCTCTAATACAAACATGAATCCAAAACAGAGTCCAAGATGCAGAGTAACAAACAATGCAAATGGCAAGATAACACAGAGGGAAAGAGGCAGGCAGGAAATCAGTACGATGCAACAAGGGAACACAGGTAAGAGAAGGTTACTTATACACATAAGGGGATGAGAGAGGTGGAGAAAACCAGAACATGGGAACACCAGACACCAGGAATCTGAAAATGCAGGATTACAAGTGTAAAAAATAAAATAAAATAAAAAAAAACTCAACCTACAACAGAGATAAAACAAAAGGGTTGAAATAATAAATAAAACGCAAACTTGGGAAACAAACTGAAGATTTTTAATAATAAACAGGATTCAAAATGACATGACAAATAACGCTTCAGTAAGACACTAGAAAAGGGGCTTCTAAGTGTTTATGCTTTAGAAGAAATGATAATTGCATCAAGGTCCTTTTTAATGATGTACATAAATCATAAGCTTTGCTCACAGCACAAGCCAGGGAAATGCTGGCTGAAACATTTTCTCCTTTTCAAAAAGATTTTCATGTGTTTGCTGAAATTAATTCGTGAGCTTTTTTGTCTTCTGCTTCGGCTCTTTAATAAGCTAATCTGCAGACAAGAAGCCACAGCTACTGTAAGAAAACACCTGAAAGCTATTCAACATTTCTTCACATAGGCTCGTTGTCTCTCTCTCTCTCTCTCTTATTTATTTATTTATTTATTTACGCTCCAATCCCTGTATCAAGAACATCAAAGGGGGCATGATAGATTTTCTCTTTCTCTGTATAGTCATCAGGGACAACCTTATCCTCCCATTCATCTCAGCTACATCCTCATAGGTGAGAAGGGTGCTGAGGGATCAATATTTTTGATGCCTCTGACATCTTCTCTGATGTGCTGCTGTGGTCAATGTTGAGTTTTCCCTCTTACTTCTCAATCTCCTCCGTCTGTCACCCATGAGATCCGACCGCGTTATAACACCGGAGGCGCTCGCAGGTTGATGCGTCAACTCCAGCTGAGGATCGATGAGAAGTCTAAGTGTCAACTCTTAATTCTCTGCTTTGTACTGATATACAACACAGACTCCACAAAAGAAGAACTTGGTTTCAGAATTAAACATTTAACAATGAATGAAATATGCATTTATTTTTTTATTAAAAAATGGAAACTGACCAGAGCTTTAATCAAAGAAATAATGGATCACACTTACATGGAAATGTAAGCATTAGTTATGTTTTATCAATCATTACAGTCTTGTATATGATTTACTTTTATAGGTGTTGAACTAAATTGAACTGAGTTGAGTTAAAAAATTGAATTGACGCTCACTCCTTTCTGTCCTGTTGGCTGTGTTTCTCCTTTCTTGACCAGAAGGTGGCAGTAAAAGCAGTAATCAGCAAACTATTAAAGAAAATCATTGAGCTGTAATTATTAAATAATCACCCATGACATTGAACCCAAAACCAGAAGTATATAAAGACATTAATGGGTTTCCAGTGATAAAGTTTTGTGCATGGCTTCCCTGATTTGGTTGAGAAGAAATTCATTGACTGCAAAGTTCATAATGACAGTGTCCATGCTGTTGGGCCTGAGTGAGAATAATTGTGTGCAGCGAGGTTCCTAAATCTGGAGAAATGCCTACAGTAAGGAAGTAAGAGATGTCCAGCTATCACATATCAGCATAATGCATAGATGTCCACATACTTTTGCTTTAATCACATTTTTATGGAGTTTTAGACACTTCTGTAAAAGGTTCTGTGTGTAAACATCTTTTAATTAGCTGGTCTGACCTGTGAAGCAACACCAGTGACAGTGCAGTCCTTTGTCAGAGCACCCAGCTGATGACGTGCCAGCTTCCTAATACTGCTTTGTGTTTTAGCTGCCCCAAATAGCACAGCAGGACAATGAGAAGAGCACGAGGCATGTGTTAAGGAGTCATGCAACACTGTAGGTGCTCTATTGTTTTGTTCACAGTCACTGATTTAAACAGACTGAGCTCAGTAATTACATAGAACTACTGCATGACAATGGACAGTAAATGTTTCTTTGAATTTAAAATAGTGGTTCGCACTGTTGCTTCACAGCAAGAAGGTCCTGGGTTCAAATCCACAGAAAGGATGAGGCCTTTGCGTGTGGGTACTCCAGCTTCTAGGAGTTTAGGATAACTGGTGACTCTAAATTGCCCATAGGCGTGAATGTGAGTGCCCCTCTGTGTTGGCGCTGTGGCAGACTGGCAACGTGTCCAGGGTGTACCCTGCTTCTTGTCCTATGGGGCTGGGATAGGCTGCCAATCTGAATTAGATGAGCAAATAAAGATGGATGGAAAGTCATCAAAGTATTGTTTTTCTGCACAAGTTTAGATATTTATATGGCGGAAATGTCACATAACTGTGTTTAAAAATGACTTCACACAGAAATTGTCTAAGTGCACAAAGAAACCAACAGTTCTTACTGTGAGACAAATAATAAAAGACGCACAACAAATAATCAGTTACTCACGGGAGAGAGTAGATTACTCAAATGATGAAACAACAGCAATGTAAAGCCTGACATTCACAGAAAATATTCATCAACTGCCCATCAACTACTCCTGTACTCTGTTGATGTTCTCCTTCATTAGAAACAAACTGTGCGCCTTTACTTTCAGAAAAAAGCAAAGAATAGATCTAATGTGTCATGACGGCATTATTTCATCTTTTTAGCAGCAGCACTCCCTGACCTGCACGTTAAAATGTAAAAGTTTGCTTTGCATGTTGAGCTGATCTTGTTTGATGGAGGTGACTAGGCTGAAGTCTGATGTAACCTGAGCAGGGTTAGCTTAAGTCAGGTCACGGCGAGGTCATCAGCTGGTCATATGAGAGGTCAGAAGTCAGGTTGGTGTGCATTGGTTGTGGCTGCTAGACGTACTGCGAGACACAGTAATCCAGACAACAGCTGAGCACTGTTACCGCTACTTTATTAAGGTCAGCCTCGATGAAGCAGTCGGGGATTTTTTCCTTACTTATTTTGAACGCCTCCTTTTCTCATAATGAAACAAAAATAGCTCAGGGTGTAAAATTAAACATGCTCAGACCTGCCATGACTGTTTCATAGTGTTAACAGTGAATTTTGTCGTATCAAGATGGCTTTGATTCTTAGAATTTAGCTTTTTTTTTCGTCATGAAAAAAATGTATTTATTTCTAATATGTAGCTGCTCAACATGTAACATTTGACATGCTGAAATACAAAATCTGCACTGTGTGTTTTAAAGCAGCATTAAATGATTTTGAGCCACTTGGAGGAAATTGAAGAAAATGTAAAGCAAAACTCTGACACATTATGTTCTTTTAATGTTGGCATGATGTACATGTTAGTTAGCATTTGTGTTTACATGTATAGAGAAGCACTACAGCATGGTTAGGACCGTTTTCCTTCTCCTTTTAGCTCTGGTGTTAATCTCCAACAATATCTGTATTCATTAGTAGAAAAACAACTTTAGGTTTCTAGCTGGTAACTTTATTTTTCTGCAAAATTAAAAGGATAAACACATTTTATGAGAGTGGAGTGGTCATCAAATCAAAACAACATGCTAAAAGATAATAAAGTTCTGTAGAGCTGGAGGAAGCTGCAGGGCTCTCGCTATGAGGTCCCTATTTCAGAATTTACAGTATTTTATCAACTGTAAATTTTATTAGTCCATAATTCCCAGAACTTCCTGGTAAAGAAGAATTTATTTATTCACATCTAACAAAATATTTGGTTTTGTTAATGAGGTAAATGTGTGTGCAGGGCCAATAATGAACAGCCACGGTCAGCCAATTAGACCCATGCTCTCTTGTCTTGAGAGCCGTCGTTACGGCACTGCCGGATTGGTGTTGTTGCTCTGGGGTTCGTTGGTGATTCCTTGTCTGTTTGAGAGAACAGTGGAGGTTTTAAGTGGTGCTGAGGGGCAAAGTGAGATGACACTGATGTGCTTGTGGGTGACCGAGGCTTCACTTCTTTGCCATCTGTATTTTCTGGCCTCTTGTCATTAGCTGCACTAGTTCTAACCGTGGTCCCAACACTCGCCTTCATTTGAAAAAGTCCACTATTTGCCACAACTCCATCAGCAGGTTTTTCATCTCTGAGGCCATTCACCTTTGAGCTTCCACTTGGGCTGGATCGTCTGGTTAAAAGAATATCAGTGTCTTCTGTCACAGTTGCCACTCTAAACATGCTGTTTTGCTCTCTATTACTTATCTCCTCCATCAGCATCTCCCTCTTCCTCCTCCACCTCAGCATTGCTTTCACAGAGTTCACCAAATCAACCAAACTTAACAGGACTGATAAAAACGCAACGCAGAGCATGAAGTTGAGCATTAAGTTCTTTTCTGTTGGTCTGGATATGTAGCATTCAACTCCAGATGTGCAGGGAGCCTCATAACAGAGGAAACTCTTAGGAATCGACAAACCAAAGAGAAAGAACTGGGCTGCGCTAAAAATAGCTTCTAGAAGAATTCGTAGAATTATAACTATGAAGTAAGCGCCGTAGAAGCGTGGCGCTCCCACGCATGACCTCCCAAGTGGGAGGTCATGAAGCAGGGCTTTATGCGAGGACGACTCTCTCGAGGATTCTGAATTCTCGCTGCAAGGCGAGCCTCCTCGACTCCTGCCCCAGTAGAAACCTCCAAAATAGGGACATGACAAAACTTTGTGCATGATGTAGGTGGCAAACATCAAATGGAGAAGACCGAGAAGAGTAAGGTGGAAGAGCCAGAGACGGAGGACAGAGACGGGAGCAAATAGATCAAAGCACACGTTAGAGCAGCCTGGCTGCATGGTGTTACAGTTAAATCTGTCCTGTTCGTCACTAAAGAGCGTGAAGCCGGCCAGGAGGAGGACAAGCAGACGGAAAACCAACATCAGTACCCACCAGGTTTTGCCTGTAATGAAGATGGTGAATATGTCTGAATATGTGCTACCAAATCTTTTCAATGCCTAATAAGTAGCTGTATTTTTTAAGTAAAGTTAAATACAGCTAAATAAGCATATAATGTATTAATGTTAGTAATTTAAAAATAATAGCAACAGTAAATTGTCACAGGAAATCCTTTTGTCGTGTTAGAGTGATAAATCATTATAAAGCACCCGCTTATACACAAATAATTCATGAAAACGTTTTAATGATTTCACTCGTTAATTTGAATATTCTGCCACACCGACTTACCAATAAAGGACACATTTTGATTTATAGTGATGAAGAATATCTCTTTTGCCCCCATCATCCTCATTCAACGCCTCTTTTAAACTGGCAAGTCCGACTTCTGATGATGTTTCGAGGTGATGTCCCCCGAGTTGCTCTCTCCTTTAACTTGCTTCTAAAATCACAATGCTGATCGTCAGCGCTTCCCACTAAACACACTGACCTCTAACGCGCTGATAGTGCCTCTTACCCTGTCTGCAGAGCACAGGACCTGCGGAGAGAGCTATTCTTACCGTGCTGCCATCAAAGCATTGTTGGGATGTCTAGGTACAAGTCAACTTTACTGGAAACTGGCCGTCACACTCACACATGGCCAGGTTTGTTATCTGTTAATCATCCGCTAAAGTGAAACAGGCAGTCACACCACAAAATAATTAATTTGATACTAATTAGATAACACCAGAAGCATAATTATAACATGACCATAAAAACATAAAAAATAATTAAAGGACAACGACTTATCAAACGAGAATATTTTGTTTTAATTAAAAACACAAATCAGTCACATCCATAAATAACTTAAATTTAACCTGTTTCAGTTTTTGAACTCTTTACACACTGTACAAAGTTAATTTCCAAAATAACTACACTATATTTCTATATTTTACTGCTTTAGCGTTGAGACACTGAGGTGAAAAGAAACATGGAAAAATTCATATCTTGCCCAAATGAGAAAAACCAAATTACAAAACAAAGTTTTTAAAGGTGAGTGGAAATTTAAAGATTAAGCAGTAGTACTAGCTTGTCATGATTAAACACAGGGATTCAAGACACCCTTTATCAAGGACACGTTGTTGATGATCAAAGACTACCAATCATACATAACTAGTAGATAAGACCTGTGTTTACTGTGCTTCTAATAAAAAAAAATATTTTGGGGTATGAGAGAAGAACTTTGTGGGATTTGAGGCATTAGATATTTGTGAAGTTGCAGTCATACAATTAATACACTTTTCTTTGGTTCATATTGTTATTTAGTTGCGTGCTATCTTACTAACATGTCCTGTGAAAACTTGTATAACTACAAAAATGACCTCATCAAACACAAGGAAAACGGCTCTCTTTTTTTGGCTTACCCCTATATTTGAGGAACTTTGGGTTTCACAGGGTTTGAGAAGTTGCAAAACAGAAACCCTTTAACCCAGACATGTCAGCAAGTCCTTCAAGCATCCATCCAAGAACATGTTAATACTGTAATAAAGACAGTAGCCAGGGTAGGATACACTGAGCATGAAGCTCATGAGACCGGGGCTTTTTACCAGATTTTCCAGATGAACAGTAAATGTGATATATACAGTCAGTAATGCTATAATACTGAACATATATAAACAAAGGAATGTTGGGTAGCCTCCTCACATCTGCAATAGATCAGCATCCAGTGGTCAGTGCACTTATCAGACCAGTTATGTCATTCTCTTTGTTTGAAGTTAGACATTAAATTTTACTTGACTATAAAACATTTTGTTAAGTAGCAACAGCACATTTGAGTTTGACAGTAAATGGATATTGTTTTGTTAAATAAATGTTCAGTACAAAACAACTTTCCATCTTTTCACCTATCTTTTCTCTTTTTTTTCCCATTCAGCCAGTAACAAAAATTACTGTGTATAATTTGACTACAACGTCTATAAAGACGGTTCACCGCAAGAAATGTGGATTATTTGGGATAATAGGAAACATTTTCTCTGAAACATGTGTTGCAGATACTTTTTCGAAGTAATGTTAACACGTAAGGTAACACGTAACTTCGTCCAGTCCTACCCTGGACTGGCAGCCTTTTTCTGCAACACCTCAAATAACCACTAGATGTCAGCAGAGGGTCGTGCTGTCTCCTGCTTTTGAATTGGTGGAGTCATGTTACTGAAGGAAAACCTGGTGATTTTTGCTATACTGATACATCTATAGGGATACTTTAAATGTATTCTAGCCCTTTCTTTCTATGGTGTTTATTTCATTATCTAATCTCATTTATCCTCCCAATAACTGAAATGAGGAGCATTACAGTCAATCGACATATCAACCAGACTACCTGAGCATAAAGAGGTACACTAGAACTGTAAACCTTGAATATTTCCAGAGAAGAAATCTTTATTATTCTTACTCCCATCAAAGAAATAAATAACCAGTAGAAAGTCCTGTGCTACACTACTAATTGCCAAACACAGTTGAAAATGTTGAAAAGTACTTAGAAAATAAATAAATAATACGCAGGGTTATCTGAAAGACAGGTTATTTAGAATCTCTGAAGCTAGTTAAAACCGAGAGATTTGTCTGGACAAAACCAGAAAGCCGAACTGAGACTTTTTACATTGAGACAGGTTGACAATGCCATGTCCTCAAAAGTTTCAGACCTTTGTCTTGTCCTGGATTTCCTTTATACTCCAAAACTAGAGTTGTCTCCGAATGTCTTTGAATGGTTGACGTGGCAACCAGTAACTCCCTTCCCTCTTACAGTACAAAAATATCGAGGCACTATGAAGGCATTAAGTTAAAGTAGAAACACGTCTTGTTCGCTTAAACTGTAGTTTGCGATTCTTGACTCCAGGTCCATTGGATGGTGCCAGGTTACACTCGCTGTTCCAGAATGTAGCTTTGCATCCTGGGTCCATTCACACTGACACACTTCCACTGAGCACAAACACACGTTTTCTCCTTCAGGCAGCGTCTGTAGCACGATGTCACTCTTCACTATATGACAGCATATTAGTGGTTAAGAGAGGATTGCAGGAACCCATCGGATCCCGCATAGATTGTCCATGCTCGCCGAGCGCTTCCTGGCAGCTTTCCGCACGTCTTTGTACTTGTCATCACATAGCCTGGAGATGGCCTGCAAAAAGGGCATAAAGGAATTTTAAGATATCGTTGTCATTTGGCTGCGTGCAGGGCTTTAATGTGATTGAAGCATTAACGTTTTAGTTTCTAGAAAACTTTTCAAATCTTGTTTAAAAGTAAATAGTGCAATTTGACGCCCCTTTACACATTTTCAATACACCGGAAGATCTGTAAAGGTAATTGTCCTATCCTGCTAAACTTGTTTTTTTTCTTCCTTTCGGCCTCATAAAAGGGAGTTTTTCCTTCCTGCTGTTGCCCAGTACTTTGCTCGTAGACGGTCGTCTGATTATTGGGATTTTCTCTGTATTATTGTGGAGTCTTTACCTTACAAAATAAAGCACCTTGGCGCTATACAAACAAAATTGAAAGCCCAATCAGCAATTAGTTGCCCTGATCAGTCAGTGACACCTCCGACATGCACAGTCTCTTACAGCCAGCAGGCTCTACAGGAGCAAAGTCTCTCCACGCTACATAATTGGTTCTTTTTAGTTAACTAGTTTTAATAAATGCAGTACTTGACTTATCCCTTTAGTTCCCTTCTCTATGTTGCTAACCCTGAGAAATAATGGTGGCAATCGGGCAAAGCTGAATTGTTACAATCTGGAACAATTTATAACTCCTATATTTATTGGCTTTGAGTTTCTTTATTTTCATCGATTACTAATCAAGGGGAAAATGTAGTAATTTGATGGATAGAAAAGAAAGAAAAAAAATTCGGATGGAAACCTTAACGGTGACGTCTCACCTCCAGTTTTTGAGCTTTCTCCCTGCTGAGCGGCTCCAGGGGGAAGCTGAGGTTGTTCGACTCTGAGAGAGATCGCAGGTCAAAGTAGTACTTGGCGTAGACGCTGGACGGCACGTTGATGTTGAACTGCAGCAGCTCCAGAAACTGTCGCTCCAATTCGTTCCTGGTCGCATGATCATACAATTTCTGTGTCAGTGCACTCCCCCAGTGACTTTTTAAAGATGTTTTCTTTGTGATATCAAGAAGAAAAAACGGCTCCTTGAAATCACAAATCATCTTTCAAAGTTCAAAGTTAGGTGTTGTTGAGTCTTTCATTCTCTTTATGTATTTGTTTGAAACCTTGAGGATTTAAATCCATGACTTGATGAAGAAGCTTATCACACCAAATCTCATGAGCATCGTTTCGGTTTTTCTTGCTGCTTGTCGTTTTTCTTTTCTGTCTTTTTTAAAATTTTGACCCAGTCCCCAACCGACTCCCAAATCAAACCTTAAACCTCGAATAAAATCCTAAATTTCAAGACCATTCCCATCCTTAATGCTAATCACTCACATGTCCTCTACTGTGATGTCCTTGAGAATCTGACAGTAGTCGACATTCCAGACAGCTTGATCATCCCAGACTTTGGAAGCCAGCAGGATAGCACCCAGAACGATCCTCTTCCAGTTTCCTGGACAGATGTCAATCTCTGCATAGGTCAGGAGCCTCTCCAGATAAACCTGCACAATCACATGGATAAAGACTGAAAACTAGATAGAAAATTAAAGCAGCAGATAATCATTAACATGGAAAAAACAGTTTACTAACAGAACCTGATTTGATCTAACTAATAGTGTTGGGAGGTAAACAATTGGGGTTTTTTTTCCCCCTGTATGACAAACTACATTCATCACTGATCTCTCAGAGCCCACAATAGTCACATGCATCACAGTAGTTATGATGCATAGTCTCATCAACAATTTGCACACATGCCTGGGTTGTCGGAACATATCAGGCTGCAATTTCCCGGGGGCCTAAACACAAACTGTGTGCGCACAACTGAAAGGTCCATCTTATCTCACCTTAGGGGGGCAAAGTGTCATGAA